ATGAAGTCCTCACTTGTCCCCATATGTACAATAATTATCTGGGAGATGGGGGATACAAAACATCCACTTTAAAATATCTAACCCCAATGTGTATTTACAATGTGAAAACCTATTTACGAAACTAAAATGTATTTGTAAGTAAAAGCAAAAAACAAACAAACAAAACATAATCCTAAAATACAACAGAAATTTCAGATAACCGTGCAGAATATAAACAACTCTAAATAACAGCATTCATAAATCATCGTTAGTTTTTCACCGAGCCAAGCTCGTATTATATATGTCTACCGAAAAGGTTCTTTGTGGCCCAGAGGTAAGGCACGTCAGCGTAAATGACGGTTCCATATATATATATATATATATATATATATATATATATATATATATTCTCTTCTTATTAAGTTTATGTATCTTGTTCGTCAAACTCGGGGTTGACTGAATGATGTCAGTTCTCTCTTACAAAGAGACCTCGCGCCCAAACTTAGCTACGAAGGTGTGCAGGTGTGCAGTGCGTTCGTCTTCGTAACCGGTTAAATAATTCAGTTGTATCAGGGATAAAGGTGAATTTCTCGACTCACTGTCAAAGTCGAGTAACGGTATATAAATTTGTTTTTTCTAAAAGTAATAATTTTATATCCATACAAATTGATAATACAAATCGATACATGCAGTTCTAATATGTATAGATCATAACAAATATACATATAAAGTGTCGATGCTAAATAAATGAACCCAGTGAACAGAGTTTGCCTTTGATTTATTACATGTAGGTATAATGGGTCACAATGCAAAATGGTTTTTGCTGTGGGTCACGGTAAAAAAGGGTTTGAAAAACGCCGAACATGAGAACTGACATCTCTCTCACTTATCAGGGTGATGGTAAATTCATTTAAATAAAGAGGGGGCAAAATAAAAGTAGTCGATAAGCATACATACACTAAGTTAACTTATGTGATCAAACGAAAATAGAAAAGTTTTCTCACTAGACTTATTAAACCGATACAGTGAGACGATTCTGATTATTATTGGCGGCTACAATCTTACCAACATAAGGTATTATATGGCACAGTGTTGATACAAGACACGGAAAGAAAACTACAAAAACTCCTATAGAAGATAATGAAGGAAAGCGAGAAGAAAGGACTAAATATCAATTGAAAGAAGACGGAATCAGTGGTTGTTAGCAAAAGGGCAGCCCAACATGCAAATTACAGATTGGAGATACCAGAATCAAACAAGTAAAACAATTTAAATATCTGACAAGAGGACGGAAAGGGTGACACTGAAATCCGAAGGCACAGTGGGATAGCCAAAGATGCATTTCAAAATCTAAGCAAAGTATTAAGAAACAGAAAACATTCCGTTAGAAACAAAAAAAAAGAGTACTGGACTGTTAAGTTATCTACCCTCCTATATGGTAGTGAATGCTAGACAATCTCCTCAAAGATGGAGAAGAGACTTGACGCAACAGAAATGTCGTTCTACAGAAGGATGCTGAGGATACTATGAGCATGTGAGCGACGACGAAGTTTTAGAGAAAATAGAAACAAAAAGGAAATTTATACTTAACATCAGGAAGAGATAGTCGAAATTTCTAGAGGGAAAAATGCTTGGAAAATCTTATACTCACAGAACAGAGTGAGGGCAAGCTGGAAATAATGCATAATCTACTTAGGTAAACAGGTGTCAGAACAAGGTTGAGGAGAAATCACAAAATGACATTTATTAAAAGCTACGAAGGACAGGAAATTGTGGAAAGTCAGGATCGCCTACGTCCTGAAGAGACATCGTACATAGAAGAATCTACCTTATATAGATCGGGTTGTCAATATTTAACACGGAGAAACAATATTCTAGATGCTGGCATAACTGACATCCAAATCGTACTCTAGGTCAAAACTATTCACTCGACACAGACGCGAAATTCTGGCCCATCTCTCGCCAAATTACCCCCGCGCAGTATTCCGACCAAGAAGCCTTCAAGTAACCTTCGCAACGGGCGTACGACACTGCAGTAGACGAAAGCATGTTCGAAATTTTTTCTCCCACGTACTACAGGGAATGCATTCTGGCAAAGAAAAAAAAAGATTCTTTCCAACCCAAATGGCGCCTCGTAACTGCCTCTCTAACATTTTTATATAATGCCTTCCGGGAAATAGAGGGGGTATCAGAATGGCTTGTCTTCGCGGTCTTTGACTTCGCACGCCTCCTGTCGAACTCTCTGCTAACGCAGAGAGGAACCCGGACGAGGCTTTGCCGATGGGCAAGGTTTCTTCCGGGGAGGTAGACAGGGCCTGAACCCGTCTAATCGGCTTCAAAGGCTATTTTTTTTTGGCCGAGCCCACGGGCTCGGAGAAACCCACAATAAAACCGGCCTTGTGCCATATTCGTTTCCCGTGGGTGAAATGATAAATACCGAATGGCTTGTCTTCACCCGTACGAAAAATCTCCAAGCAATTCGAAATTCATGATAGAAGTAACATTCGTCTCTGGACAAACGGCAGTCCTACACTTCGCGCGAGTGCACCCCCCCCCCTCATAGCCTAAAAGGCTTTACAAGTGTCTCCCTTACAGAATTCGCCGTCCGCAATTTTTTTTTTTTGCGCACACATCCAATATAGGAAACAAATCTCGAAGTTAGGCGTACGTAGACCGTCTTCATACAGGTAGAGATAACAGATCTCGCGACATACCTTAGGAACCCAGACTCTCTACAAGATGGAGAACGAGACTCGAACTAAATCAAGTAGTACATTAGACGGGAGTAGGAGCGCGGAGAGTCGGTTAAGAAAGATGAGGTAGATGTGCGAAGCACAAACTTCCGCTCTCCCCATTTAAGTAGAGATTCCTCCGAAACCACATACAAACACGGCATCAGTTTTCTCCCGAATCCCCGACTTTGCAACTAAAGGTTGGGCACCAAAACCAGACACGGGAAAGATAGAGAAAAAGCCCGGAAAGAGAAACTCCTTTCCACGCGCCTAACCACAAACCAACAGTAATTGCGATTGATCTTGGTCCCTTTACTTTCTTATACCCTATGATTCCTATGCCGACTTTGTCAGTATCGGCACTGCTCGTTACAAGTACGCTCACGTCTTCAGCATAGGCGGAGTATCTGGCCGACGTGGCGGCACCAGGTCCGTGTAGGACAAGATAAGCATTTAAAACGGCTTAAAAAGGTAAGAGCGGACAGCCTTGACGCATGGGGTGAGACAGCTTGAAAGATCCAGTCCCTACTGCAATAACATCTACCAGCGCACTGAAGATCACATCCAGCTTTAAAAAGAAGGCCTTAAACCGGCTTCGACGAAAAAAGGCTCCAGGAATCGATGATTAAGCCTATCGACTGCTTTGGACTAATCCAAATTGCTCAGCGCGGCTTCACTGTCGACTTATTCTATGACCAAGCGTACTAAGTGATGGATGTTCTAGAAAGTCCTGCCTTTCCCAGCGCAAGTCTGTTCAAGGCCAATTAGAATGGGAAAGACAGCCTGCAAACGGATCACTAAGATCTTGGCCAAATCTTTAACTTTATGTTTGACATCGTAAAGAGTCAAAAATTACTAATCCCGTCATCACCCTTTCTGTCCTTGCGTAGCAATTTGTTCACACCTGGTGAAACGTTGGGTTATAAACGCCTGCTACATCCAGTTGTTGAAAATCAATCCCAGCAAGGTAAAAAAAAAAGACATGGGCTCACTGCCTCAAGTCTATTTTGTAAGGAAGACAATCCAAGCCTGCTGTCTTTTTTCGGTCAATAGGTTCCAAGGCATCCCAGATCTCGGATACTGTTATGGGACCCGTACTCTACCGCTTCAGTCGCCTCAAAGAGATAAATTTCGGCCAAATATGCATCGAAGTGAGCCTAGATCAGACTGGGCTCCATGGTGAACAGTTCCTGAAAGTAATTCCATAAAGTCTCATATATGTCCGCGTTTGTATTCACGTTTCGGGTCGCTGATTATAACTAGCTGCACACGACCTAATTCTAGACTTGAGTAATCACAAAACCTGTTCCCAATCACAGTACCCGTTAACTCTTGCTGTAGTGTTAGTAGCAGCTATTCCAGGAAGTCCTTCTCGTCAAGTAACGACGTTGAATTTCCAGAATCCACCCAACCTAACCTTAGATCCAAGATTATGGTCCGTACAAACTATCGAATAGAAACTTGGAACGCCTAAAAGCCCGAGTTTGACTCTCCTAAGACTAGTTACATTGCAACACCGAAGTTGAGCTGTTGAAATCTATACGACATCCCGATGGTACTCGTTTAGAAACTTATCAACACGATCAACCTTGCCACCAAAGTCCCGAAATGGGGCCACGAACGGGTTTTTAATACCGGATCGTTTCCCTTTTACGATCTAAATCTGGGTCAAAGATGGCATTCCAATACCCCGCTAAAACTACGCAACGAAATGCCATTAGATACGGCTCGATCCACGAAATAGACCGAGCCGTTCCGCAAGGTCACTGTGCGCATAAGCCTCAATAAAACGAAGTGATATATCCTTCACTGTGTCATCCAGCAAGCGAAACCTGCACGCCGTATCTGCGAAAATAAGGGCATACGTCACATCCAAGATTTGCTCACTAGCCAAGAAGCATGTTTTGAGTGGCCATCAAAACATGGTGAGAAAAAGTTAAAGCTTCTCGACATTGTGTCTTCACAAGCCAGATCATTGAACTGTGTCTCTCCTGTCTACAAAAAAACATTCACTCAGAGGCGCTGAAGCATTTTTCAAAGGCTATGTTCTTCAGAATTAATGATACTTGTCTGTTTTTTGTTGTTTTTTTAAGTGTATACAAATAGGCCACGATTTTAATAATAGCTCGCTTTTTTAGTACTATCAAATGTAATTTTGAGTTCTATTTTTAAATTACAAAAGGCATCGTAACATTTCTACGACTCATATTAATTACATATATAAAAATGTTAAAACAATTATAGTTTTAATTAATTTCATATTCTAAGCATACTTTTCATAACACGCACATGCATCTCTCTCAATGTCTGTCTGTCTGTTTCTCTCTTTCTATCTCTCTCTCTCTTTCTCTCTCTCTCTCTATATATATATATATATTAAGTAAGGTCCTTTCTTATTGTCTGATTAGCTTAATAACATTATCATTGAAAGACGAATTGAAATCACCATATTGATACATGTTTAAATCCAACTCGGCTTACATAAGCCGTTATCAAAGATGATAATTACTTTTCAATATATCAACCAATACACGGACGAAACAATAATGATAGTCTGTTTTTGTTGCATAAAAAATTTCAAAGCAACGACTAACTCTGTATATGAGACGCGGAAGCAAAAATCGCGTCGCAGCTCGTGACATCACACATGACCACGCGAGAGTGAAAATGAGAAGTATTAGGTATGGGAAGCCGCTTCCGCGTCTCGTATACACGAGTTAGTCGTTGCTTTGAAATGTATCAATATGGGGATTTCCTTTTGTCTTTCAATGATGATGTTATTAAGCTTATCAGACAATATGAAAGGAACTTACTTAAAATAAATAGACAAAACTTGTCTATATTATTTAATGAAACATGTATTAATGAAAATTGCTGCCTAAATATATATATATATATATATATATATATATATATATATATATATATATATATATATATATATATCAATCTAGGTTCACACTCCTACCCGTTTTTCTGAACAGGAGCAGTGGATTATCTCTTGTTTCCTGATTAGGATTGGTTTTCCGATTTCCGAGGAATCGGAGAGCCGAGTTCGAATTCCAGTCGAATCCATTACATTCACTTATGTGCTAATACCCTTGGGAAAGGTATGAATCCTCTTCTTCTCTTCCCCCCACCCCCGCCAGCTATGGTTAAATAGCAGGACAGACCGGGTTCTTTAGCCTTGGGCAATGACAACCTACTACGGGGAAAAATCTGCCTCGTTAGTCTTGTATCGAAAGATACATGATCACCTAAGCGCATGGCACATAACTGACTGACTTTCCGACTCAGTCTAAAGTCAATTCATTCTCTTTTACTCCCAGTAGCCTCTTGCGTCTTAGCGGCATTATCGCCTTGCTTGGGGTAAATTGACTAAAAGAAATCTCTTTCTTATTAAAGAAGATATGACTTCCGGCAGGATTCGATGAGACAGAGTGTATGTAAATATAAAAGTGGGCATTGAAGTCAACGCCTAGTCTGTTTGATGTTTATACGCAATCGTCAGGCCAAACAGGTCCACTTTTATATTTACATACACTCTATCTCTGATATTGTACACTTTAAAGCATTAATATAATATATATATATTTTTAAATCCACATTATAACCAAAAACGTTTGCGGCTTCTCTCTTCTTTTTAAAATATACACTTTTCTTACTTTTGTCAAATGAAGATAGCTCAGTGGTAGAAACACTAACTGACACCAAATCGATTAAGTTTCGATCGGAGCTTGGCATTCGGATGTCTAGTCGCGCTGAGGAGCTGCGAAAAAGTACTGTCCGCAATTGACATGTGTGAATTGGCATCAATTAATGATCAAATTTGAATAAGTATCCGACAGAATGATAGGATAAAGAAACAGATAGGAAACGTTTATAAATTTAAGATGTTTCCCTTTTATTTAAGACTAGCAGTAGAGCCCAGCGTTGCCCGGGGATGTAACAGTAAGAGATAGATCAAGAAAGATCATAAAGACTGAAAAATAAAAGATTATTGTTTAAGGTTGACGGACACGCATGTCTTAATTAGTTTTTTGTTTTGTTTTTTTGTTTTTGTTTTTTACGAATTGGTCAAAGCCAAACTCAAACAAAAACATTGTTTTCAATCGTTATGAGTCTACCGATTGAATAGAATTTTATTATAAACAATTGTCTTGTAAATGGAATTTTAAAGCATTCTGAATGTAAAAATAAAGAAAAAGTGTGCAAGACAATAAGAAACACTACCTGCCAAAAAAAGTGAAGTTTTGTTGAAATTGGTTGAACAATGTAGGAAATCCGATCCCATATATAAACGAACACACATACACACACACACAGACACACACAAACAACCTGGGTTTTATAAGTATAACTCGATATGAGTTGTCCCTCTTTCATTCTCGCGACAGCGATACCTCTTAATCGTGTTTTCAAATTGATTTCGTGCAAAAACCATTGTCTTTTTCCAATTTTTGGCGCTGTCAGAACCACCGCAAGGTAATTTTACGTAGTCCTGTGAAGTTTTGTTGAAATCGGTTGAAAAATGTAGGAAATCCGATCCAATATATAAACGTACAGACACACACACACACACACACACAACCTGGGTTTTATAATCAGTATGATTCATCAGAAAAAGAAGAAAAGAAAGTTCTTGTATTTTTTATTTTGTGTCGATTGTGTTGGTTAAGTAGACATCACGTTTATTTGTCTTGTCAGATAGCGTTCGTGTGTATAATTATTCTGCGTTTGTGTATGACCATTTTAGTTGTTCTATGCGGGATTTGGCTGTTAATTCGTGTTCGTTTGTGCACCTGGTGATCATTTTTCTTTCTGCCTGTTAGTACCCGTATGTCAATTGTGGGATGTTTTGTGTGGGAGTGAGAGAATTTAGGTTACACCTGTTGTGGTTGTAAGTAAACTGATCTCAGATTCTTTAAGTGTGGATTTTATGAAAGTTGGTGATATAATAAAGTGTGTTTGGTGTGTATTTATTGATAGGAAAATATTGATCAGTATTCCTTCTTGGAAAATACTTCAAAGGAATCCTGATAAATATTTTATTTACGGCAATATTATGTTGAAACCCTGGTTCTCGTTCGATTACCGAAGTTGAGCAACATTTATTTTCATAGATTTATTTTCAAAGATTTGCTAAAAAATGAGCATACATGATAGAAAAAAGTTTTGTCATGAAAATCTTTATGTTATTATTAAGAAGAAAAACCAAAAGATTTTTATTATTAAATTATATTTTTTAATCCTTTTTAGAACTTTCGAAATTTTGGTTATTTTGTTCTCTTGCGTCAAAGTGAGGGAGGGTTCATAAATTAGTCTGGGAAATTTGAATATCTTTTTGCGCCGAAAAACACATTGATTTGGAAATTCTGGCAAAAATCAAATAATTATCGAGTGAAATTTTCAGTTCTTATTCTCAAATGAATGAAATTATTTTAGAAATGTTTTTGTTTTAAAAAATCTTGTTAAAAATATGTTTTTTACATCAGTTACCCTCCACTTACTTAATTTTATGAAATTTCAAGAATTTTTTTGTACGGCTTAAAGTTTGTATTAGTTATAAACACAAGTCCATGGAGAATATAAATCAACAATTTTTTCTTGTTGTTGATGTTGTTTTTTGTAAAACAGGACACGTGGTTACAGAAAATCTGCTCAGAATCACAAAAGAAAAAATGTAATAAAACTAATTTAATTAAAAAAGCTTTTAAATACTTTTAGTAAGATATATTATGGACGCTATTTTCTTAAGAAAAAATTTCGATGAATAATGAATTTTTACTAGAATTGTTTTCCTTTTTTTAATTTTAATTAGAATAATTTATAAAGTTTTAAATCTTTTAAAATTCTGTATTAATTTGTTGTAAAAACTATATTTACTAATAATAAATGGAAAAGCTTATTATAATTCATTGACCCCCAATATTTTGTAATGAATTTTGAATATTTTTGTGTATGTATAAACGTGCCCGTTTTCTTGCCCATACACGACGTTATCAGAAAATAATAGCGGTGACTATAGTAAATTTAAAACGAACGTACCTAAAATTCAATAAGATTAATTGGAATACTTTATAAATTTTAATTATTTTTACGTATTTAAAAAATATAAAAAAGGCGCTCACGTTATATTCATCAAGTATTTTTTACGGATATGTCTCCCGTAGAAAAATTAGTTAAATTTCTCAAACATCAGGCTGCCAATAAAGTTGTCAACATCTCATAAAAACACTGAAATTCATGTTAAAAATACTATTTTGCTATATTTTAAATGAAATGTAAGATTTGTTTCAGATCAGATTAATTCAATTTTAAATCAGCTAGTCTTATTCAAATAAAGATATTTTTAATAAAGAGAATTACATTGTGCGGACAGACTTGTAAATATGGCTTAAAATGGTTAAAATAAGCCATTTTAGCAATTTAAAAACAAATCATTCCAATCAATTTAAATTCGTTTTGAAATACAGCAAATTATTTTACTTATTGTAAATATTAGATTTAATCTATTGGTTTAAAATTAAAACTAAAATAAAAACTTGAAGAAAGATTTTTCATTTTAATAAATTCATTTTATATCTTAGATACAGCTTTTATTTAAGAGTATACACACACACACACACACACACATATATATATATATATATATATATATATATATATATATATACGGGGTGACCCAAGAAAACGGGAACTTTTTAACAATCCAATAAAACCAAGAGTGATGGAAGAAAAATATTTTACTCATCGTAATTGAAATCTTAAAACATGCCATTTAAGAAACAATGATGGAATTTTCATTTTTTAAAAATTACGTCCTGTAGATGGCGTCCTCCTTTACTGCTGTTGAGATTCCTCATTGACTGCTGCAACATCTCAGCTGGGATACTGTAAATTTCATCTTGAATTCTAAATGTCGAAATGTTTACTTGCTCAAGGTCACTGTCTCGCAGTGTTGCCACTTGCTCATGTCTGGCAATACGCACTTCAAAAAATTTCTATTTTTTAAATCACCTATATATATATATATATATATATATATATATATATATATATATATAGGGCTGGTGCAAGGGTCTCGTTAGCCTAAACCGAATCTATGATACTGCCTCCATGCTATGACACGTCCCCAAGCTATTATACAAGGCACCCCACTCTACTACGCCTCAATTTTCAGAAGTTAGTATTCATATAAAATACAAATATTATTGTAGGCTAATCATTTATGCACAATGATGGATCATGTGCAATATAGGTAAACAATTCATTGCGAAACATTTAAAATAAATACAATGTATTTAAATACTAATTGGAGACATGTCATAATAGATCATTCCATCTTAAATATTCAACATTATGGATAAAAGTATTTAGATACACTTGGCATAAGCCAAACAATTTCACGGATCCCCCCGCCCCGCAGAAAAGCAGAATGATGTCAAAATCTGCGAAAATATTTTATCCTTTAATAGTCAGTTGTACTTCGTTTAATTTGTAACGTATATAAATGTAGAAAGAAAAAAGCAAAGGGTCGCAAAGCATTGCCCGAGGCACCCAATTTGGCTAGCCCTCACCCCGATCGGGTGGTTCGTGGGTAGTACGCACCGTCTCTCTCTCTCTCTCTCTCTCTCTCTCTCTATATATATATATATATATATATATATATATATATATATATATTTATTGAAGATTGCATTTCTGATAAAAATGTTAATACGTATGTTGGTCTTACAACAACGACGATGATGGAAAGGCTTACGTCTCACTTGAACAATCACTGTTCAATCTCAGAACATTTAAAGGAACACTGTCCACATTCACAGTTTAGACAGATATTAGTTGAAACTAGATCAGTGTTTTATCAAGATAATAATAAGCAAAAAGTTAAAATACTGAACGCCCTTTATATAAGAGAATTTGGGCCAAAAATAAATAAGGTCAACTACGACTATAGCAACAAAGTTTTTAAATGTTTGTGGCGGGAAAGTGTCATATAAAAAATTACTAAATTAAAATACTACGGTTAAAAATCTTTTTAAAAAATCACATAAGTTACATTCCTCGCATAGAGGAGAAAAATTATTTTGAATTTATGGTGTTAGCGCAAAACACATCCATAAATAGGGAAACACTGAAGATGACCTCAGATGAGATTGAAACTACTTGGGAAAATAAAAAATAAATTTGAAAGAAAATTTTGGAACTTTTCTTAATCAATTTTCTACAGCCATCAAGAAATTAATTCGTGGCCTTGAAAGGATTAAAACTAAAATAAATAGGCGTCTAAATTATTTAATCAAACATGCTTATATATATATATATATATATATATATATAGAGAGAGAGAGAGAGATAAGAGAGCGGGAACGAGAGAGAGAGAGAGAGAGACAAACATATGAATCGTCAATGGACAAACTAATCCTTTTCGGAAATGGGCATATATCATTTTCCTGTTTCTACATAATAAATGCAGCTGGAAATCGTCTTTACCGGATGAGCCACGACCGGATGAGCTGGGATATACTTTGAAATACTCCGACTGAATTGGTATCTGGTTCGTATAAAAGCGATTCAGGCTTACAAGGGCGTAATAGATTTCGATTATAGCGATTGTTTACCGACAGACCACTTTATTTCCTACGGCTGATCCTTCACAGCATTTCAAACTGCTGGTGTATATAACGTGTGACACATGTCGCCATTGACCTACTACTAATAGAGAGAAGCAGATGGCTTCTTACAGACATGTGCTTATTTCTTGAAGCCCTTCAACCGTAGGAAGGAGCAAACGTTTCGTTTTTCAGCTGGGGTATGAAGTGCTGAAACGAACTCCTACCTTTATGTAGGCTTCTTTTACATACGGCCTGTAGAAAATGACGGGTTCATAGTTGAAAGAGCAACACCGACTCACCGTCGTGTAATGACAGGCAATCAACTCTCCTAGATTACCTAGTAGCTCCCTATAAGTAAGGCTTTACGGCAAAAGTAAACTACACCTAGTAAATTACTATTTAATGTCAGAGTACCTGAAAACGGACAAAAGATAAAGTTTATAATGTGTGCATATTTGTGGAAATTATATCAAGAAAATGATGATTCCAATGTCTACGGTCTATCTCTTTAAAAGCCGTATCCCGTATATGGAGCATTTTCCCCTATAACTATAGCAAATTATAAACTATATATATATATACACATGTTCGAATATATAATTCTGTTTATTTTCAGTGAAATTAACGTCTACCGGTCTATATCATCAAAACACTTATTAAGGAAAATACACCTTTATACAGGAAACTACATTGTCTTTTTTTGTGGAGAGAACTATCTTAGCTAAGCATGTCATTACCTCCTAGGACAGTGGTTCCGAAACGGTGCGGTGCCCCTCACAGGTGTGGCGGAAGAAGATAGCAGGTGAGGCGGAAGAAAATAGCAGGTGAGGCGGAATGATTGAAAGATAATAAAAGATTTAGAAACAGTTTCAAAAAATTCATATGCCAAAAATAAATATGATGTCAAAATTTAAAATATTATTCTGGATTACTTGCAATTGCCGGCATGATTCTCAGTATAAATAGTTATAAATAAGTATTGACCGATTTTATCATTGTAATATTTTTGCATTACATAAATTATTAAGAATATAGTAACTAGGGTTTGCAAATTGGAGGAGAGAGTTATCAATGATAATGTTCTGACTTCAAATCTGCGGTTATATCCCTTTAACCCACTCTCTTGACTCACATTGACTCACATGCCCGCCTCCCCAGTAAAGAAAGAGAACGAATAAATTTCTACTTCTGTTGGCACAAAGACGGTTGGTGTAATTTAATGTATGCTGTCTCTAAAGTGTGCAGATGCTTTTCCGACCGTGCTTTGCGCTTTTTTAGTTCTAAGAAATATCCAAAAACAAAAAAGGGAAAGGTTTCTTTGTGTTGATGAGAGTTTGTATATCTCAAATTAGGCCTAATATAAAGGAGATTACTCGTCAATGACAAACTGATATCTTTCATTAACATTGTGTACTTTAATCATATTTTAAGTTATTTGTATTATATATATATATATATATATATATATACACGCACACACACACACACACACATATATATATGAAGAAAAATATACGGAAAAAACAAACAAAAATCCTAATATGCAATTATGCTGTTTTAATGTTAATATAATGTCAACGTCGGACGTTTCGCTCTAGTAGATCATCTTCAGGACATATTCATAAAACATAATTAACATTAGACTATATTTAATTCAACATGAAAAGACGATGGACATAAGAGTAAGACTAATCAAAACAGATAACTCTTAAAAAAAAAAAGGTAAAAGAACACTTCAGTCATTATAAATGTCCCCAGTAAAAGTAACATTGCAAACTCTAATAACCAACTTGTATCAGAAACTGGGATACAAAATAACTTATAATATGAACGAGCATCTCTGATAACTGATTAAAAAGTTAAAATATTCTCCAACTAACGTGTACCCAAAACTATCACAGACACGCATATAGCATCAAGCTATACCCAAAACATCCACAATCCCAAAGCTTAAAATCTGGACTTAATAACTCTATAGTGGTTGAAACCAAACCAAACACAACCTTACAGCAAGGCATGGCTCATTTACCATTTTTAAGAAATGTATATATTTCGTTGGGACATTTCGAAGTCTATATCTGCTAACCCATATTTTTCTATCCGGTTGGTTGAACAGGGATTACGAGAGATAGCATAAAGACAAACTTTACTAAGAGCAGCAAAAGACACAATTGTGGGGAGCCGTGACCGCTCACGTTCTGAAGGTACGAAGAAGAAGAAGAAAAAAAAGAAGAAGAAGAAGATAAGTCATGCAGTATTTGTTTTTATCACAGCAACCCTCTCTTCCTACCCCTACAATCCCAGGGTACACAAGTGTGTGATCTTTGGGGAGAAAAAACAGGGGGAAAACAGATAATACATAGTTATTAACTGCCTCCGGATTTTGCAGGCTGGTTTGAACTCAGAGTTTTCCTTCTCCTAGACCAGTGGTTCTTAACCTATTTTGCCCGATACACCCCTTTCGCAAGAAGTCAGGATGACATTCCCCCGCTTTTCCAAGACTGTCCAACTGAAAAGGTGCATTCCAAATAATATGCATATATTATTGAGAATCTTCATTCTATTCCCTATTAGTTATATATACATTTGCAAGGATTATTTTTGCAGTAGCAAAAACAAGAGCGAGTGGAAAGAAAACACAGCGTGACCTCCCATCTATCTATCTATCTATCTATCTATCTATCTATCTATCTATCTATAGATCGATCGATATGTCTGTTCGCATCTCTCTCCCTCTATGTATCTATCTATAACTGCTTGTTCTCATTTCTTACTCTCTCTCTCTCTTTCTCTCTCTCTCTCTCTCTCTCTATCTATCTATCTATCTCAGTCTGTTCACATATCTATCTATCTATCTATCTATCTATCTATCTCAGTTCCGTTAATATCGATCTCGAGCTAAATATCAATGTAAATATTCATAAGTATATGCATGTATGTAGGTATTAACAAAAATATATAAACCAGATAAGATGAGACACATTATATCAGAAATAAATAGCGAAACCAATAAACTAACCGTCACATTAGCTAAAATTGCAATTCCACTTCTTGGTAAAATTATCTCCTCGCATAAAAAAAAACCTTTAGCGATCTTTTAAATGAATTACAAAACACAGACATAAAAAAAAACAAATATATGCCCAGTTGAGACATAAAATCTTTATATACAAATGTTCCTGTAAAGAAATCCCTAAATTTACTAAAAATACACTTAAAAACTAAAATAAAATTACCTCTTCCTGTGCATGCCATAAAGATGTGGTATTTAATCAATAATCAATGTTTTTCACCTTCGGTAACACTCACAAACACACATAGAGGCACACACACACACACAGACACACACACGCAAATATATATGCGACACACACACACGTGTGTGTGTGTGTGTGTGTGTGTGTGTGTGTGTGTGTGTGTGTGTAATAAAGAGTTCTTAACCAGAACCTGACAATTTAATCGGGCATAAAACTTAGAGTTATGCTACCGGTAAGGAAAAGATGCATATCCATTAGAAATACATACATACATACACAAACACACACACACACACACACACATATATATATATATATATATATATATATATATATATATATATATATATATATATGCTGTAACAGCAAAATTGTTCAAATCATGTAACAGCAAAATTGTCCAATTGTTAGATTAAGCTTTGAGCCGTTGCATCTTAGAAATGATTAGATATCTTCACGTACGATTTCATTTTCAAGTCTTTTTTCACTGCTTTTTAGACTGTCATAGGTGAACCTCCTTTCCCACTTATCAAACGTCTTATGGATTGAGTTGGATCTTTTCTAATTGATCTCTTTAGCGCTAAGATGTAATGATGATCCCTCTTCCTGTTGTGACCTGATCCAGTTTTCCTCTCTACTGTTTCCTCTTTTTAAAACTTATTCACGTTTCTCTTGATGGTTCTTGAATGGACTTTGAAGGGGGAAGCCAGACTATGAATGTACCATTAATGAAGGCCTGATTTTCGGCTGACAAGGTACTGCGGTTAAGATTTTATTTAATTTTTCTTGTGTTCTTATATTTTTTCTTTTCTTGACATAAATTTTCTAAAAATTGTCCGAATGTTCTGTCTGTCTGAGAGCTTTCGGACATTTTCTAGATAAAGAAAATATTATAAAAACACAAGGAAATTTAAACAAAAATCTTAACCTCATTAATTTGTCAGTCGATTTTAACGGAACTTGTATAAAAAACAAAGATTACTGCCCAATTATGCACAATTATGTGTGTGTGTGTGTGTGTGTGTGTGTGTGTGTGTGTGTGTGTGTGTGTGTGTGTGTTAATTTACCTACGCATGCATGGACTCTCCCAGCTATAAATAGGAGCTGGTACTGCCTTTTGGAGAGCGAAGTTTCCAGGAGTCGGCTCTGACAATCGGACCGAATATTCTTGCTGTATCACTCTCGTTTGTATATGTTTGTATTACTGTTTCTGTTAATATATTTGTTTAACTCAATTTCCTCCCCTGTGTCTTTATTTCTGGCCCTAACTAGGCCACAACATATATATATATATATATATATATATATATATATATATATATATATATATATATATATATATATATATATATATTATAAAATAACTGCTTTAAAATATGGTTTCTTCGCTACACAGTAATAACCATGTTTCAAAATGCGAAGCTAAAAACTTTTAATTTAATTATATAATTAAATTAAAAGCATTAGTTCTGTTTCATCTTCCAGCGAATTTTGGAATAATTTCCTGAGTTTTAAACGCACATAACTTCCTGTTTCCAAAGATATAGAGAAATCCAATTTAGACAGGGGCAGTAGCGTCTTCATATTTATTAACTATTGTTGTATCAATTATCAGTTACGTTCGAAAAAGAGGTTAAGTTTAGGGAGGATAGGGGTGTATTTTTCAACGAATTCTGACATCCTTTCAACGCATGTCGTCTGGGGTTTTTTTTTATTAACAACAAAAAGTTTTTCGGCATTTTTTTCGTTAAATTCTTTCCAAAAGGGGTGTTTGCGTTAGAATACGTTATATTTAACTACAATTTTAAAATATTATTTTTACTCTTAATTACTAATAGACTATATTTCTTTTTAAATCAAGTAAATGTAATAAATTATTTAAAAATTATTTTTTCATATCAAATATAAGTATGTATATTACCAACTCGCATTTTTTTTATTTTACTTTTACATATTATTTAAGGAAAATTTTTGACAATGACGGCAAAGAATAGTTATTTCATTTCTTTGATTCAGTAAATTTTTATTTTTTTATAAACTTAGTAATATATAGTTTCTCATGTATGCACAAAGGACATGGGTCATTTCATGACCTACATATTCTAGCTTTTCTTATTAATTTCCATTTTACTGTAGGTGTTTTATTGGTTTCTTTTAAGTGCCAGAAATATTTCAAAATGGATATCTGATTTCAGTATTTATTTATCCTAAATGAAGCTTAATGTTGATTGAACCTTTTTTTAAACTCATGGCTTGTGCAACCTATATAAGATTTTTATGTTTTCGGGATTCTCAATAGATGAGATGTTGCATTGGTATACTAATGATTCCGTGCGACATTTATTTTATAAAACCCGGCCTAACTGATCAAGAAAAATCGTGCCTCGTCGAACCTGCATCACTTTTGTCCATTGTCATCAGTTATTTCCCTTTAGTAACTCAACTTTTCACCATGTTTTTTTTGTTTCTGCCGTGGCCAGGTATTGAAATCAAAACACTCTGAATCACTGGATTACTTCAACCAACAATTTTATCAACTTGGGCCATATGTTCTTGGGGAAATCCGAGCATGAATTTTTTGGGCTTATAAACCTAATGTATCATCGGCATTTTTACCCGAGCTCATATTATAATTTGTTATTATTATCGTTATTTTTTTCTCTAGCACTCTGTATTATTGATTCCCATATTGTACTCATGTCTATGCTTAGCCAGCTTAAGAAATTTTTGCGGTTTGGCATATGCGCTGATTCCTTAAGTTTTTGTATTTTCCAGTGATGTTCTCTGTCTATTATTTCGACCTCATCCCTCAAAAATTGTAATATGAGCTCTGGTAAAAAAAATGATTTCTGAGATATTAGGTTTACATGTCCCAAAAATTCATTCATTGATGTTTCCAGATAATGATTGAAATAATCCGATGACTAAACCCAAAGAATTGTGAGTTCAGTACCTGGCCACGGCAGAGGTGAACAAAAAGCTTGGAGAGTTACTCAAGGGAAATAACTGAAACTGAGATCCAGAAGAGGCATGGCACGTGGAACTAAAACAAGCTACCCCCGGTGGACTAAATAAAGTGTTCGGTTCGAAATTCCAATGTATATCACCTGAAGAAGGCCGGAGCGTACAACGACCGGAACGTCGAGAATATGGCAATAAAGATGGGAACAACAGTCCGAACAATGTTAATAGTGTAAATAACAAAGTATCTTGGCATATTAGAAAGCCTCTTGTTATCATAATGAACGAAAATCTCATTGGCAAATAAGAGACCCAACTGTATTATTATATGTTGCGTTTTATATATATAAAACAGTTTCTAACCACAAAATAATCCATACCCAACTTCTGCAAGCAATTTATATTGTTATAACATAATATATAATAATATGATATAATAATACACTAAAAATAATATAATAATATAATTATATAATAAGAATATAATAAGAATATAATAAGAAATACTAATATAATAAAAATAGTATATTTTAATATAATAATATAATAAAATAATATAATAATATAATAAAATAATATAATAATAATAAATAATAATATAATAATAAATAATATAATATAATTAATATAATATAATATAATTATAATATAATTTATATTGCAGTCCATAACATATGAATCTAATTTTTGCAAGATTTCTAATTCGATATTCATCATTCAAATTCTTCAAATACTAGGCAACTAGGTCTTATTTTTTCTATTGAAAGAACGAGAGTTAACCGTAAGTTTTATTCTAATACTTTCTCTTCTCACACTTCTCTCCTGTGGTATGGCAAATGGTAACCGTAAGTTTTATTCTAATACTTTCTTTTCTCACACTTCTCTCCTGTGGTATAGCGAGAGGTAACCGTAAGTTTTATTCTAATACTTTTTTCCTCACACTTCTCTCCTGCGGTATAGCAAATGATAACCGTAAGTTTTATTCTAATACTTTCTTTTCTCACACTTCTCTCCTGTGGTATAGCGAGAGGTAACTGTAAGTTTTATTCTAATACTTTTTTCCTCACACTTCTCTCCTGCGGTATAGCAAATGGTAAACGTAAGTTTTATTCTAATACTTTCTTTTCTGACACTTCTCTCCTGTGGTATAGCAAATGGTAACCGTAAGTTTTATTCTAATACTTTCTTTTCTCACACTTCTCTCCTGTGGTATAGCGAGTGGTAACCGTTAGTTTTATTCTAATACTTTCTTTTCTCACACTTCTCTCCTGTGGAAGTCTCTTCCGGTTTCTCTGCTACCTACAATCTTCAAAAATCTAAATCCAACGCCAATCGATAATTTCTGTCTTCCTAAGAACAAGCAACCATTTTTTTAATGTCTTCCTCGTCCTTTTGCCTTATTAAAGTCTATACTTTCTCTTTCACTCCCATTAATCCCTGGCGTCTTAGTGGTTTTATCGCCTCACGTACGATTAAAATATGTACGTGTCATCCATTGGTCTCGATAGACCATGGATCTGCGCCCGAAACGTTTTGCTTCGTCTACTGATGGCCATGCAGCATCTGTTGTTGTTGCAAAGGTCCACACGGCAGTGACAGTCTCCCCACCCCCTCAACGTCGCTGTGTCGTTTTCTTAGTGTCAAGTACGCTTCTGTCCGTCAGCAAGCCTCCGTTTCTCCTCTCCTCGATCCAACCCTCGGTGTAGATCGCGTCTCCAGTGTGAGCGATCGTTGGCGTCCATGCCCATCGCCCTCATATCTCTTTTGCACATGTCGTTGAAGTGAAGATGAGGTCACCCTTGCCGGTGGCCAGTTACCCGTACAAAAGGACCTTCAGAATCCCCTCATCCTGCCTACGGTGTACATGTCCAAGCCAGCAGAACCAGTGCTGTTGGAGAAGAGCGTATATGCTGGCTAACTGGGCAAGGGTGGGAACTACGTCATTGGTACTCGGTCGGACCAATTGATGCGCAGAATGTGTCTCAGATAGCGAAGATGAAAGGCGCTGAGGTGTGTATGTCTGGTGCAGAGGCTCCAAGTCTCGCTGCTCTAAAGCTGACACGATTAAAAAAGAAAACATTAATTAATAAGCATTCTATTGTTGCATAAGATACAATGTGAATATTCTACGTGCTCTGTTAGTTTTTTATAATCTTTCTGTACGTAACCTGTTACTATGACTCGTGATTCTCTTTCGCGAATTACAAGGTTTAGCTTCACCTACTTACAGGAAGCCCTACTGCCTTCTTTCCAGTTCGATGACGAGTATTTCTTATCAGGATCGACAGCCATCGCCATGTTGGTGCCGGAATACAATTGAGGTTTTCACACGAAAAGAAGTCGATGAACAGAAACGGTCGTCCCGAATGACGTCACACTGTGGACGACAATTGAGTCCATCGGACGCTGACTTCCGAACTGGAATGAAGTGGAAACAACCAATTGTCTGGGCTTATTTACGACCCACTGGAAGACGGATACTCGTAAATCTCTGTACAAACAATTGGGAGAGCGAAAGAAAATATCAAATTCGTTCAACCGCAACTATTTAAATACAGAGAAGGGGAAAAACAAACGGTAGTGAAAGAAATTAGGATTTTTTTTTTCCTTTTTTCTTTTTTCTTTTAAATAAATATATATTTTCTTTTTGTTTTTTTTAACCGCTGGATAAATTTTGATTCATGATGCCGCATATGAATGGCAAAAGACATTCTCTCTCTCTCTCTCTCTCTCTCTCTCTCTCTCTCTCTCTCTCTCTCTCTCTCTCGTTTGCATTGTGTTACACACTTGTGCTCGTATATACATTTATTTATGCAGGTGTGTGTGTGTGTGTGTGCGTGCGCGCGCTCGCGCGTGTGTGTGTGTGTCAAAGAGAGAGAGGGAGATAATATAATATTATATTTAAGTAACTGCAAAGAACAGCGATAATTAATGTTAAAAATGCATGTTTCAAAATGAACAAATCTTTCTTGAAACTTTTATTTTAGTCTTACTTCTAAGTTAATAGATTAAATTTAATATTTCCAATAAGAAAAAGAGTTTGCTGCATTTCATTTCAAACCAAATTTAAAAATGGATGGGAATATGTTTTTTTTTTTTTTTTTTTTTTTTGATCGTTAAAATTGCTAAAAAATCAGTCGTATTGACAAATCTGTCAACACAACATGATTTTCTGTATTAAAAAAATTTAAAGAATAAAATACACTTTTCTGAAACTTTAATCGAGGAAGATTATATGAATTAAAGTTTAATTAATTTGATTTAAAACAAATACTACTTGCTTTTATTTTAAAATATGGCAAAAAAAGCATTTTTGCTGTCAAATTTATCGATAGCTTAATGTTTGACATTTTTAACTAAAAGGCACGTAACTATAAAAATTACATGACTAATACAACGTGAACGCCATTTTGTATGATTTTTAACTGCTTAGTAATCTTAAAAATGTAAGTAAATATTGTAAGTAAATTATTGAATTTTAGGTACTTACTTATGAAGACGCTTTTTGATGAAATCTTAGAAAATTACCAATAAATTTTAAATTTACTATAGTTACCGCTCTTATTATATATATATATATATATATATATATATATATATATATGTGTGTGTGTGTGTGTGTGTGTGTGTGTAAAAATATATAGAAAATAGGAAAGAACTCGTTAGGTAAATAATCCAAAGTTCTTTAGTATTTTTGTCATTATTTTTAAAAAAACAGTGCTCGATACAAAAGTAGAGCCTAAATATAATTATTTATTTAAAAATATGATTCCAACGCTACGTAAGAGTTCTTATGTTTCAAAACAAGAGCCGAAAACTTCAATATAATTATTTGAATTAAATTGAATTAAAGTACCAAGCTCTGTTCCATCTTCAAGCGAAATTTTCTTTTTTTGGGTGGGGGAATAACTAATTCCTGAAATTTACGCGTTTTATAAGCATATTCATTATTAAAATTAAAATTACTATGGTAACGGCTAGAGCAATTATTTAAAAAATGGGGGGGGCGTGAGGGTTAATAATTTGTATCAATATCTCAGTTACATTCAAAGAACTCAAGTCAGGGTAAGGTTGGGGTGTCTAAATTCAAAGCGGAAGATGACATCGTCTAGTCTGGTTAAGTGTCTATGGAGATTTATTTATTTTTTTTTTTTTTTTTTTTATTTTTCTTGAAAATATACAGATGCATACATATATATATATATATATATATAGATACATACATACATATATATATATATATATATATATATATATATATATATATATATATATATATATATATATATATATGTATACAGATGCTGTTGAAATGTTTACATAATATGAGGTAAATAGTGAATTTTATGTGCAAATAATTAATGCAGCCCGAAACATCAAAACAACATTAATTGTGGTCTCCCCCAGCTATGAGTAAAAAGGAGGACAGACTGGGTTCTATAGCCTTGGATGGCAACTGGTCTAAGAGAAGGAAAACTCTGAATTCGAAACTGATCAAATAATAAAACATCAGAAGTATGCAAAATCCCTTCACGTTTTGATATGCCGATTCACAAGATGTCCACAAGTCATTTTGACAAATAGAAAAATTTAATAAAATTACAACGGAAACTTGATACTGTTGAAATGTTTGCATAACATGAAATAAATAGTTTATATAAAAATAGTTAATAATGGGTCACATTCTAACGAATGTGACCCATTATTAACTATTTTTATATAAACTATTTATATAATAGCAGCTGAGTGATAATAGGTTCTTTAATTCTGGAAATTCTTCGACTGCGGTTTGAAACAGAAAAGCAACATAAATTCCGGTTTGAAACATAAAAACATAACATTATTATTTATAAAATTATTAATATCATTAAAAGAACTTTAACAATACTATATTCATAAAAAACAAAAATTTAGTTGTCACCTCCATGTTTTTCGTAATGATCTTTTGAATTTTTTTTAAATCTTTTTTAAAATCTTTTTTTGAAAAAATGAAATTGTTTAAAGACTTTATGAATCCCCTGTATATATGAAGGCGGGGAGGGGTGAATACAAGAAATGGCGGCTATAATTTTACGAGAAAATTCAGGAATGCTTAGCTTTAAATCCATATTTGAAATTTCTACTGTCCGACGAATGTAGATGCATAAACTATCAGCGGCACTCGGTTATCTATCACTTTTGTTTTCATCTCGATTTTTATCGCTGTTGCTTTGAAATATGAAGAAAGAATGTCTGAAGAAATCCTTCTACGGCCGAAACTCGTTACATAGGAGCTACTTTTTACGTTTAATTTCCCACCATTAGTCTGACATATAGATTTGTTTAACATATGCTTCCTATATATATATATATATATATATATATATATATATATATATATAGTGTAACCCGGATATAAGAGAGTTGTCGGGACCGGAGAAGTCTCTTATATCCGGGTTTCTCTTATATCCGGGTCTCTTATATCCGGGTTACACTGTATATATATATATATATATAAATATGTGTGTGTGTGTACACGCCTATGTGTATGTATATACGTGTATATGTTATTGTGTATGTGTGTATTCGCATGTGTTTTTGAACATAAAAATATAGGTCCTTGCTAGATTAGATAATCGTTATATTTATTTTTTATATGTTTATATTTGATTTGTAACCTGTAGTCGATATTAATTTTGTCAAATTTTCTCAATTACACAGCGGCCCTTTCAGTAAATGTCATTCAATTTTAGTTTCCTCCGTCCCATCTCTCTCCCCCAACTCTTCTTTCCTTTTCTCTCCCTCCCTCTTATTCTGATCTTTAACATTAGATCGTCTATGGTGTGTGTATGTCACCACGAAATGTATCTTTAATGTATTAGACATCAGACAATATTCATATTTCCCCCTTCCACTCACCTCTATAAAAAAAACCCTCTCTGTTAAGGTTTAATCTCCCACCTTCTCTCGTCTGTTACCCCTCTCTTTAGCTCTAACATTCGTCCCACACTCTCATACTTACACTCTCTCTAAATTCTATTTTTATTTCCGGAGTTGTTATGTTTTTTTTTTCTTTTCTTTTTGAATTTGTAGGTCTGATTTACGATTCCAATGGAATAAATTATGACCATGGAATATTAGTGTTTAAGCCTTTTTATTATATCCTTACTCTGTCCTAGACATTGAGTTCTACTTGGATTCTATCCTCTTTTATTCAAAAGATATATATGTATGTGTATGCATCTATGTATATATATTTTGCATATGTATGTGTATATTTACCACTAATATTATCAATCTCTCTCTCTCTCTCTCTCTATATATATATATATATATATATATATATATATACACTACAGTTCAAAAGTTTGAGGCAAGCCTGGTAATTTTTTTAATTGGTCCAAAATCTAGTTGTTTTGTACTTTAAATAAGCGAAAATTATTATACAAAAAGTGAGACGTGATTTTTTTATTGAAAATTTTATAATAAAAAGAAAAAAAAGCATTTTCTAATTAAATTTTGCCCTCGTCAAAATATCCTCCTTTAGCCTTGATTGCTGCAGCATAAATTTTTGGTATTCGTTGCAAATGTTTCTCAAACTATAAGACTGATAATTGATTCCATTCTTTTTTCATTTTTTTTTTATTTCACTCTTCTGTCAAGTTCATCCCATGCTAATTCTCGCGGGGGGTGGGGGGATAGCTTCAGTCGTTTCTTTTGATATTTCAACATATTTGTGGTCGAGTATGTTGGCTTGGGGAAATAGAAATTCTTTCAGGAAAGGTGAGATTGGGGGGAAAAAACCGGGGCGTAAATTTATTTTTCTCGAGAGTGCCGCTATCAAATCTTATCAGAATATAAATCTACGCCCCGATTTTTTTCCCAGTCTCACCTTTCCTGGAAGAATTTCTACTTTCCCAAGTCGACATACACGATATGTTGAAAATCAAAAGAAAACGTCATATATATATATATATATATATATATATATATATATATATATATATATATATATACAAAGTATATAATATTGGTATATACGGAATGAATTCCAATAACCAACAATTACTATTCTTAAAAGAGTGCTCAATACAAAAGTAGAGCAGATATAATTATTTTTATAAAAATAATTATAATCTATCATGATAAGACACAGAGTGTGTTGAAACAAAATGGCTATTTTTGTAGTGATTTTATAACATACTTATGTTATAATTTTTATAAAAATAATTATATATATATATATATATATATATATATATATGTGTGTGTGTGTGTGTGTGTGTGTGTGTGTGTGTGTAGTAGTAGTAGCCTAAAATCAGAACGATTTTAAGAAAAGTCTAAATGTGAAATAACTTTTATTTTAAAGCTTCAAAGGACATTTTATCAAGGAAAAATAAGGATATAAAGGTAAATTATATAATTCCAAAATATAAAGATCATTAAAATTATTTTGATAAAGTTATAAGAATGATAATATAACATTCGAAAAAAATAGATGATCAAAAACATCAGAACGATTCACAAAATCATACTATTATAATGGATACATCATATCCAAATGAAAATAGCGTTCATAATTCATTAGTATTTGATATGTAGACCTTTACTTGCAATAACAGCTTGACATCTTTTGCTACATGAGCGAATTAATGTCTTGCATTCATTAATGGATATTTTCTCCCACTCTCCTTTCAAATTAGTCCATAATTCTTCGACTTTTGCTGGATTCTTTTCCTTAGCTCTTTCATTTAATAACTTCCAAACATTCTCAATAGGATTCATGCC